CTTGCGCATTTTTCTATTGGTCAGTTCACTGCTCGCGCTGATACACGTCGTGGGAAGTGGCGCCAAGCGCTCATAGAAAGCGCGGGAGGCAGCGCGTGGTGGAACAGCTGCCCGGGCTTTTGAACTTGAGAGCTTCTGGGTTCCTTTGCTCAGAGCGTCTGGGCTCCTTTGTTCAGATCCTCAGAAACCCCGTTTCTCTCTTGCGGAGGGCCCTCGTCAGGCCCAGTCCTCCAGAGGCCGTGACTTTAGAAGTCCTGGAACTCAGACACCTTTGCATCACTGCACTGCCTGGAAGACCCAGCTTGCTTGCTCAGATTGAAAGGCTAGTCGCCAAAAAGGTGGGTTTTGGAAGGTCAAGGAAAGCAGTTTGAGGAACTGTGGTGGGCTGAGGAGGGGAGCCAGGAAGACACTAATCATCGGGGCCAGTTTTATGGGGTTCCAGAACTTGGGGGAATTGTCAAGTGTGAAAACAAGTTCTGCAAGTTATTACATTAGTCGTGTAACCAGCCACTGTAAATTATTGCCCTTCAGAAGCTAGAAAGCGGAGTTAGAATTGCCATGGACTATTTTTAATCTTTTTTTTATTGAGGTAACATGGGTTTACAATATTATCTATGTTTCAGGTACACAGCGTTATAAATCAACACTATAAACTACACTATGTTCCCCTCCGAAGTGTAGTTTCTATCTGTCACGTACAGTTTTGCTCAGAGCGTCTGGGCTCCTTTGCTCAGATCCTCAGAAACCCTGTTTCTCTCTTGCCAAGGGCCCTAGTCCGGCCCTGTTTCTTCCTTCCCATCTAGTAACCGCTATTGCCTGAATATAGTCACAAGTTTAGTTTTGTTTTGTTCATTACTTTAGTTTCTGTTGCCATGGCAGTTTCGTTTCACATATGAGTGCAATCAGTGTTTGTCTTTTCCATATGATTTCTAGAGGACTAAAATCCTCTAGTTCATTTATCTCTTTGAATTAGTGTTTTCATATTAAGGCAAATACCCAGAAATGGGACAACTAGATCATATGAAATTTCTATTTTTAATTTTTTCAGGCTTCTTCAAACTGTTTTCCTTCTCTTCACATCCTCTCTAACATCAGCTATTTCTTTTTTATAACAGTGATTCTCATGGGTGGGTAGTGATAGCTACCCACCCATGAGACTTCCTGTTATTCAATAAGAGATGGTAAACATCTTTTCATGTGCCTGTTGAGTTTCTATATGTCTTCTTTGGAGAAGTGTCTATTCAGATTTTCTGCTTATCTTTAAATCAGGTTCTTTGACTTTTTCTTTTTGCTGTTGAGTGATTTGAGGCCTTCATATATTTTGCATATTACCTCCTTTGAAGGATGTATGATATATAAATATCCTTTATTCATAGGATAGTTTTTATTTTGATAATAGTTTTTTTTTACCCAGAGTAGAAACTTTCTGGCTTAATTTAGACCCATTTATTTATATTTGTTTTTGTTTCCCTTGTCATTGGAGGCAAGTCCCCAAACATGTCTCTGTAAGGCTGGTGTTAAGAAACATATCACCTAAGTTTTTTTCCTACATATCTCATGCTTTCAGGTCTTACATTTAAGCCCTTAATTTAAATTGAGCTAACTTCTGTGTATGGTGTAAAATAGTGTCTAATAGTAGACATATTCTTTTGCATGTGACTATCAGAGATCTTTCTTGCTCCATTGTATGCTCTTAACTCCCTTGTCAAAATTAGTTGTCCTTATATGTATAAATTTTTTTCTGGGCTTTCAGTTCTGTTTCATTGATCTGAATCTGATTTTATTCCTATGCCATGCTGTTTTGAATATTACTGCCTTTTAGTATATGTTGACATTGGGGAGTATAATCTCTTCATTAAAAAAAAAGATTTATTTACTTATGCATGCAGAACTGGGGTACAGGCCAGAGGTGCAGCCGAGGTGAGAGGATTCATCAGAGACAGAGTGGGGAACAGAACATGCAGATCAACAAAGTACACTGCTAAGGGGAGCAGCGGGTGAGACAGGAGAGGTCTGCTGTGCCATGTGGATCACCTCTGTGGCAGTGATTGAACTTGCACGAAAGCAGCTGCAGCCAATTTGCAGTGCTGTGTCCTAACCTGTTGTGATACCAGGGAGGACCAATATTTCCATTTTTTGTTCCTTTTTCTCAGGATGTTTTGGCTATTTGGGACCTTTTATAGTGCCAAATAAATGTCATGAAGAATGCACTTGGGGTTTTGATATAGATTGCACTGATTCTATACATTGCTTTCAGTAAGATGGCCCTTTTACCAGTGTTGATTCTTTCAATCCATGAACATGGACTATCATAAAGGTTATATCTTAAGGAAGGGAAAAGTAAGAAAAATCTCTCCCTCCCAACAAGATGGTGCAAAAAAAAAGAGAAAGGTGCAAAAAGGATTAAGTATGCCTTCATTTTAGTTTCCCAAGAGGCCAATTCTATCTCAGTTCATTTTCTCAGTTCATGTTTTCAGTTTCTGCCCAAAACCAGACAGTCCCCACTAGTTCACCCACAACTCTTTGCCCCAGTTGTGATCTGCACTGTCCCAATTTTATCTCACAGATAAATCTGTGTTGGAGGTCTGAGATGTTGCCTCCAATTTCTCTGGTTATTCTCATTCAGTTATTCCGATTACTCACCCACACATACCTGTTTCCCCCCCAGGCCCTCTGCATTCCAACCCCATATTTCCTGCATTTCTTTTTATGTTTATCTAGAAAATTCTAGTATAGGCTTCCATCATAATATACTAGAAATACAAATAGTACCTTATTTACTTCTGACAACACCTCTGTGAGGAGGTTCATTGTCATCATTGACTTTAGCTCAGGAGAAATCAAGTAAGTATAATTAATTACACCATCTATAGGTAATAGAGCTGGGATTTAAACCCAGAGAATTTGGGCCTCGCTGGTGGTGCAAAGGGTTAAATTGAAGCACTATGAAGCCACAGCCACTACAGCAAGCTACGCATGTGGTGCAAAAGACCTCTCCTATTTTTCTCTCAGCAGTGTATTTCTGTTGATTTTGCCTGTTCTGCTCCCCACTCTGTATCTGATGAGTCCTCTCACCCCCTGCACCTTGGATCTGTACCCCTGCTCTTGTGTACATAATAAATAAATCTTTAAAAAAAAATAAACTGGGCCCTCGTTGGTGGCGCAGCGGGGTAAAGCACAGAACTAAGAAGCTAAAGCCACTTCAGCATGAGTTCAAACACTGCTCCGGAGGTCACTACATGGCCCGGCAGACCTCTCCTGACCCGCTCGCTCCCCTCAGCAGTGTACTTCATCCATCTGCCTGTTCTGCTCCCCACTCTGTCTCTGGTGAATCCTCTCACTGCCCCTGCACCTCTGGCCTGTACCCCAGTTCTGTATGCATAAATAAATCTTAAAAAAAACAGAGAATTTGCCTTGTTTATTTAATTTTCTTACATTGTTCATTTTTGTATAATATGTTATTTCTCCCTTTAGGTATAATACCCATAAATCTCCCTCACCTGCGAATCATCATCATAGTCTTCCCTCCCCTGTTATAACCCCTCTTACTCCCCTTTCCTTGCTGTATAACATGCCTGCTAATTTTATGTTTTTTTTTTTCTCTGACCCTTTGCTTGGTCTCCCTACATTACTCCTATAAGTGAAACCATCTGATATTTTACTTTTTCCTTCAGACTTATTTCTGGGGATTCTGACATAATCTTTTCCAGCTCCATCCATCATCCTGTGAATGGAATGAGTTTATCTTTTTTGATTGCTGAGAAGTATTCCATTATGTATATATACCACATCTTTGTGATCTAGTCATCCTTTGAGGGCATTTATTTAGTTTCCAGATCTTAGATATTGTGAATAGTGCTACAGTAAACATAGGATACAGTTGCCATTTTGAAAACAGTTACCAATGAAAAACTATCCCCATGCATTGTTTTGACACTAACTTGTATGGGGCAAGGAAAAAAATCTTAAATTTGAAATTCCCAAGCATCTGTAGGAACATGTAACAAATATCTTGGGAAGAATGTTTCATTGGTTTTAGAATGCAAAACAGAATTACAAATAGAAATTCCTGTGCAAGGATCTAAATTAGTCAAAAAGGTCAGGCTGTAAATGTTCCAGCCTTCATTGTTATCTAACAAATTTCTCCTAAATGTCTTCATTTAGGGATCTATTTCCTTCTGTCAACTATATCAACATCTGCTTCATCTGTCCAGAGTTACTTGAACCTACTAACAAGTCAGGCTTGCCATTTCAAGCCTCAAGGATATAGTGGATCTTTATGAGAAAGGACTCGGCAGAGCTGGGATTTGAACCCAGGAACTCTCTGTTGCCTCTTTCTGCCATATGGTTGGGCCTGTAGATCCTTCCATGCTGATTTGATAGAAGGTGGTGAGTTAGCACCAAGCTGCACCAGCTCAGCAACATCAGACCTTAAAATCTCAGTAGGTGGCCTTGCTCTGGCCTTCCTTGATTCCATATTTCCTCATTTTTTTCTCCTAACTCCTGGCCTTTTTCCATACTTATCCTCTTTGCAGTGTTTTCTTCTTTTACTCAATTCCTAAAGTTGATATTCATTGGACATTGTTCTAAACTGAAATAGTCTTGGTACATATGTAGATAGATGCACCTGCATCTGATACCGCCTGCTCCCAATGCTTCACTGCAGATGACTTCCCCTGGACAATTCCATTGCATCCGTTAGCTCTTACCTCCTGAAAGTCTTACTGAACTCTGCTTTCCAGATGATTTCCGGTATCCCTTTATTATAATTCTATTATGATAACCCACATCACACATGTTTGTAATTGCTCATTAAATTAGTCCCCTCTCTTGCCAGAAAGCCCCTAAAGAGATGGGACTATTGCTTATCCCCTAGCACATATTCTAGACACAAATTACGTATTTTCTAATGAGTGGATGAATGACTTGTAAGCAAGGGTAGTATATTTCTTAGTTGAAATAATGCAAACATTTTAATAGTTTTCAGCTGCAAGATCAGAATGAATAAAAATCATTGTCCTCTGGAGGTGGACCCATCTTACCCAGACTTGGTCATCAATGTGGGAGCAGTAACTCTTGGTGAAGAAAACAGAAATGACCTACAGAAAAATCAGAGAGTGCAAGAGAAGGAGAAAGTCATACAAGCTGCGTGTGCTTTATTAAACTCAGGCGGAGGAGTGATTCTGGTGGAAATGGCAAAAAAAGAAGAACGTTCCATGGAGATGGGACTGGATTTAGAACAGGCTTTGAGAGAACTTATTCAGTCTACAGATTTGCATGATTTTTTTGAGACAGTGCAAAAAGGGACAAGGTTTTACATTTTTGTTAAATCTTGGAGCAATGATATTTGCACCACAGACCATTTGGTTAAGCCCCGTATTTGCAGCCTGAGTTCTTCATTATACAGACGATCTGGCACCTCTGTGTGTTGCTTGAATTCAAGAGAAGCATTAAGCCTCCTAACCAAGAAAAAGGATGTAAAACGTAGTCCAATTAATGAAAACTCTCCCAGCACTGAACATTTGATTTTTGAACAACATCCTGCTAGTCAAGTTTTCCAAATAGACCGTTTTAAATATGGTTATGTCCTGCCTTTTCCTGAGTCCGAATTAGTAGAATTTAAACAATTCTCTACAAAAAGCATCGCAGAATACCTGAAAAAGAGAATTCCAGAGTATGTCCCTGCATTTGCAAACACCAGGGGAGGTTATCTTTTTATTGGAGTGGAAAATAATACTAGGAAAGTCCTGGGATGTGCTAAGGAAAATGTTGACTGTGAGTCTTTGATAGGTGAAATAGAAGTAGCCATTTCCAAGCTGCCCGTTTTCCATTTTTGCTCTTCACAACATCGGATTGATCATTATTTTGAGATCAGATTTGCGAAAGTGTTTCAGCAAGAAAGTCTCTACGGCTATCTCTGTATGATCAAAGTGAAGCCATCCTGCTGTGTGGTGTTCTCCGACACTCCCAGTTCTTGGGTGGTGAAGGATAAGAGAGTCTGTAAGCTAACAGTAAAGGACTGGGTGGACAAGATGGTGGACACAGACCCAAGTAAGAGAGTTTTTTTCTCTTCCTATAGCTTTTCTATGTCCTTCTTCATTCTCTATAATTTTGAACTCCTTACACACATTAAAATTTGCTTTTACTAAATCTCTATGTCTTGCACATATGCAGAGCTTTTATTGAGTGAGGATAAGTCAAAATCAGATATTTTGTGAGTGGTAACTTCCCACTGAAAAAGGAAAGAAATCATAGTTTGGAAATATATTTTTCAGTTGACTGTACATTATTTTAGATCTTCTTGTTGGAATTTGCTGGAAACTCATAATAATGAGTACCTTCTACCTTAGTTTAGCCTGAGGTCAGCTCTTGGGAGGTAGGAGTCATTGTTGGGTGAGGGGTTTGTTTGGCTGAAATTAGTTGAGGTGCATGTGCACATGGTGATGACATTTCAAAAGAGAGTGTTTTCAGTCCATTGCAATTCAAGCAAATAGTTATTCAAACCTAGTAGAGGGAGCATTGTATTTAAGGGAGAAATCATTCAAGATTCAGGAGGGCTCTTTTTGTGGTGAATCTTTGGGAAAATTGACATAGAATTAAGAGAAAGTGAAGAATCTGCCTGTATGCCAAGAGATTATGTTATGTTAAATGGAACATAAATTCTCCTGGTGGTGCAACAAGTTAAAGTGCAGCACTACAGAAGCTACTAGCCTCAGCTGAGTCAGCATGAGTTTAATCCCCAGCCAGAGAGCTGACCCACATGGCGCAGCACACCTCTCCTGACCTGCCCGCTGCTCTCCTCAGTAGTGGACTTCACCTGCCTGTGCTGTTCCCCACTCTGTCTCTGGTGAATCCTCTCACCACCCCCTGCACCTCTAGCCTGTACCCCAGTTCTGTGTACATAAATAAATAAATCTTTTTAAAAAAAATAAACAAATAAATGGAACATAGACACCAACTTATGCTGTCTTTCACAGAATTTTCAGTGGAGAGGAATGAAATCATATGAGTTTTCTTTCTTTCAGAGTTGCTTGAAGCTTTTGAATGTCAACTGAGTATATCCGCCAGCCCTCCAAAATGTAGACCAGTGTTTTCGAAGAAAGGTCTTGAACATAAAAAGGATCTCCAACAATGTTTATTTCCAGGTACTAACCAATCTTTACATTAATAGAGAGAATTTAACACATTTGGTTAAAAGCAAATATGTGGAAAAAGAGAAACCTTTGTACATACTTATTGGAAATGTAAACTGGGGTGGCCATTTTGGAAAGTTAGCTAATTAACCCTAAAAAAGAGAGATGGAAAATTACAATCCAGCAATTCCACTCCTGGGCATCTCCTGAAAAAAAAAATTATATTGCAGCATCAAAAAGGGTGGGATTAAGAAAATATGGTCTATCCATATAGTGGAATACTATTCAGCCACAAAGACATAATGTTACCATTTACACCAAAACAGGAGTTTGAGGGGATTATGTGTAATAAATGAAGTCAGATTGAGAATTACAAATATTGGACATTTACACAGTGGCATTTGACAAAGCCAAAGTATTTACTAAAACTAGTGGACACTAAACAATGATGTGAGTTTTCTGAGGTTATGAAGAAGGGAGGGGAAAGGAGAAGGGGGTCAAAGAGGTATAACGGATGATGGAGGGAGGGAAAAGGGGAATATAATAGAGATTCTGGAACCAGAGTATTTGCTCACTGGCTGTTGTTCTGGGGCAAGTGATATAATTTCTTTGTGCCAGGTTTCCTTACCCTTAAAATGGGGATCAGTAATAATGCTGACCTTATAGGTTTGTTAGGACAATTAAACAAGAAAAGAAAAAAAAGATCCATGTAAGATTGTTTTGTGAATCCAGGTATAAAGAGAGAAAAGGCCATAAACCTCTTAAGGAAGCCTTACTAGATGCCTTCTAGCTCAGAAGTTGCTAAATCTGGCTGATTATCAGAAATACTATCAACAGTAGATAAACATGCAGCTCTCAGTCCCCCACTAAGATTTTACAAGCGTTCAATTTCCAGGGATGGGAGTGGGATACATGCATGCTCTTTTTTCTTATTAGCTTATCAGACAGTTTTTAAATTATAAGCTGCAAGAGTAATTGAATACATGTGTTTACTTTCTCAATAAATTCCATTTTGGTTGGCATCCTCTGCTTCTCCATGAGATATATAAAAGGGTGACTTCATTCATGTCACCTGATTTTCAGGGTACGGGTTAAAGGGACATGAATTAGAAGGAACTTCCCTTAAGTTCTCCAGTTATTTGGAGGGCCTCCCTCTTAAATGTAATATCTGATTTATACAAAATAATGCAAACAATATTTTTGAAATGCATTTTATTTTTTCCATGCCTAGTGTCATCAGGACATCTGCAATATACTCCCGAATCCCTCTGGAAGGAGTTGTGCTTAGAGCATGAAGGACTAGAAAAATTAATAAATAGACAAGTGCAACGTTTCTCCTGGGGAATTTTGATCCTTTCTAGAAGCTGGGCTGTGGACTTGAACTTGCAAGAGAAGGAGGGAGTCATTTGTGATGCTCTGTTGATAGCACCAAACAGCCCCCCAATTCTCTACACCATTTTGCGGGAGAAGGTAACAAAGAAATGCACAGACACTGCCTTTACTTTGAAGCAGAAGCTGGTAAACTTGGGAGGCTACCTCGGGAAGCTGTGCATCAAATCCGAAGTCTTCCACCTGGATCCTGAGGGCAATGCAGAGCACTTGGGAGACTCAAGTTCTTCCATTGACTACCCTGAGTCCTATAAACTGGCAGACACCCAGCAAATGGAAGCCTTGCTGCAGTCCCTCGTGATTGTCTTGCTTGGCTTTACGTCATTCTTGAGTGATGAGCTCGGTTGTGAGGTCTTAAATCTGCTCACACACCAACAGTATGAGATCTTGTCAAAAAACCTCCACAAGACCAAAGAATTGTTTGTCCACGGCTTACCTGGTTCGGGGAAGACCATCATGGCCATGAAGATCATGGAGAAGATCAGAAATGTGTTTCACTGTGAGACAAAGAAAATTCTCTACATTTGTGAGACCCAACCTCTGAGGGATTTTATCAGGTAAACATTTGCCTCTTATTGTCACCACATAAGGTTCAGTGTGAATTCACCGCACACTTTTCAATGCAAATATCCTGTTTCTTAAGAGTTAACGGGGAAATGATCTATGACAATAGTATATATTCAGAGAAGTATGATAGAGTAATTTTCCTCTTTAATTTCCTTTATATGTTGGAGAAAACTGTTTAAAATTGTGAAAAACTGTGTGTTGTTTTAATTTCCACAGCCACAAAAATATCTGCCAGGCAGTGACCCGGAAAACATTCATGAAATATAACTTTGATGATATTCTGCACATCATTATTGATGAAGCCCAGAATTTCCGTACTGAAGATGGGGAGTGGTATAATAAGGCAAAAACCATCACTCGGAGAGAAAAGGATTGCCCAGGAATTCTCTGGATCTTTCTGGACTACTTCCAGACCACTCACATGCACTACAGTGGCCTTCCTGCTCTCTCCTATCAGAACTCAAGAGAAGAGCTCACCAGAATGGTCCGCAATGCGGATCCAATAGCCCATTACCTATGGCAAAACATTGAGGTGATCAGAAAAAACCCCCCACCTAGCATCCCCCGTGGATCACTGGAGATGCTCAGTGAAGCTACGTGGGCTCAGGATGTTTCAGGCAATGTTAAGCACAGGACCTTCTCGGACGTAGAAAAGATGATGGTCTATGTCGCAGAGCGGTGCCAGCATTTCTTCAAGAATGGTTATTCCCCCAGGCATATTGCTGTGCTTCTCAACAAAGCAGAGGTAGTGGAAGAATATAAGGAAAAGCTTGTAAGAGCAATGAGAAGAAGCAGGCATCAGCTGGATGAGGACGCTCATGTGTTGGTACAGATCAAGGATGCCTTACATATCACAGACAATTGTATTGTGTTGGACAGTGTTCGGAGGTTTTCAGGTCTGGAAAGAAACATTGTGTTTGGGATCAACCCAAGGCCAATTGAGCAAGCTATTTTCCACAATCTTCTGCTCTGTCTGGCTTCCAGGGCAAAGAAACATCTGTATCTTTTAACTGATGATGGGAAGATCTCAAACTAGGAAGCCATGCTAAAGCATTCCTTATGTCTCTGCAGTTTTTAAAAGGTATTATATTCTGCTGCTCTTTCTAGCAATGAAATCTTAAAGGCATAACTGGCTTCTGACGTGTTGCTCTGTCCTCCGACTTTTGTCTTGCTATTCATATATTTCTATTGATACTTTTTTTTTTTAAGATTTACTTATTTGTGCATACAGAACTGGAGTACAGGCCAGAGGCTCAGGGGCGGCGAGAGGCTTCACCAGAGACAGAGTGGGGAACAGAATAGGCAGATCATCAAAGTACACTGCTGAGGGGAGCAGCAGGCGGGCCCTGAGAGGTCTGCCATACCATGTGGTCACCTCCAGGGTAGGAGGGACTCGAACTCATACAGAAGTGGCTTTATCTTCTTAGTGCTGTGCTTTAACCCACTGCGCCACCAGGGAGGGCCGATACTCATTTTTTTAAATGGAAAACTTATTTGTGTGTGTGTGCTAAATCAGAAGAGATTTGTTGAGGCTTTGTCCTTTGCCTACACTTGGAAAGACAACAAAAAATATAATTACACTACATTTCTCTATATAGAGTTCAAAATCTGTGGCCCTTTAAATTTACTTTTCATTAATGTTTGTTAAATTGAACTCTTTGTTAAACTGGGCCATTAATAGGGGCCTCCCTGGTGGTGCAAAGGGTGAAGTCTGGGCACTATGAAGCTATCTGCAGCACATGTTCAATCCCATCCAGGGAGCCGAACCACATGGCGTGGCAGACCTTTCCTTTCCCTCCTGCTGCTCTCCTCAGCACTGTATTTCAGTAGAGCGGCCTGTGCTTTTCCTCATTCTGTCTCTGGTGAATCCTCTCACCTCACTCTGCCCCTCTGTACCTCTGGCCTACACCAGTTCTTGTATGCATAAGTAAATAAATCTTAAAAAAAAAAAACAACAAACACTAAAAGAGGGTCAGGTTGGCAATGGCTTCTCAGAAGAATGTTTCATGCAGTAAACAGTGACCCTGCTGAGAAAGTGCAAGCCATGGCTTGTGACCTTTTCTACGCAGTCACTCAGTCCCCTGGGAATGGAAAATAGAGACAAGCGTTTTTTTGCATTTTATATAATTAAGAACTCAGGGAAGATCATGCCCTTGAAACCTTTCTGACAAACTTATTAGAGTCTGAGCTTCATCCAACCCATAAGTGATTGTAGGGGTTTTGGCAGAAAGTCATCAGTGAAGACTGGCTAAAGATCTAAAGTTGAAAACTAAGTTAAGGTAAGGCTGTCCAAATGACTGAGACAAAGCAGAAATTGCAGGCCTAATGGGGAAAACAAGAAGACAACAAGGTGGAAAGTTTGTATATGACCGTATAGGGCATATCTAACAAAAAGATTACCATTTCAAATTGATAGCTCTACTTATAGAAAATTAAGTATAGTTAAAAGTACAAAGAAAAGCACTAGAAACATTGGAAAAGAAGGCAATAATAGAATAGGAAGATTTTTTTAATTTCAGCTTTTTTTTAGGGTAGGAAGAATTTTTAAGATTTTTATATTAAGTTTCTTAAGCTGTCTAAAGAAGAGGATCTCAGAGCAAGTAGTTTTGTATAAAGGTGTGACTTGTTCATTTTCTATTTCCATAAATCTCTCTCCTGTCTTCTACCTCAATATTTTGTTCACTTGCTAGGCAAAATAGGTTTTATTTTGATTTGTTGCTTTCAAAATTCCCACCAAATTTTATACTTAATAGCAGAATGCTGACAGCTTTCTCTTTGAGACAAATCTTCTCTAAGAAGATTTGTTCTTGAAAATCCCCCAGTTAGTAGAAATCACTCTAACCTTTGTTTAGGTATTTTAAGGATAATCTGTTTGGGGATATGATGAAATATGGAGTAAAAGTAATATAACTCCTAAGACGCTGGTGAAGGAAAACAGTGGAAAGGAAGTAGAGCTGCTTCTTGGGTGGGCACTGGGGCCCCTACTTATTATCTTCTTCAGCCTTTTGATTCTCTTTCACTAGCTTGAAACACCCCAGCCAGGTCCAGCACCCCTGGGTGGGGTTGTCTAAGAGGGGCCCCAAGGGTTCTGTTAGATCAGTGAGACAACAAAAAATCAGTTGTGACTAAGCTAAAGGTCTGTGTCGAGGAGGAGAAAGAGAAGGGAGGAGGGAGAGGAGGAAGGAAGAAGAAACACGAGTTGGGAGTCTACAGGCCCAAGAAGGGGAAGGACTGGACCCACAGGTGCTGGGCAGCTGACTAATGAGCCCATCTCTGGGGAGTGGTGGCAAGTAGAGCTCCTGGTTGGCTTTAGTCCAATCTCTACTCTGACTGTTACTCTCACAGGGCACCCTCTGCCACTGTGCCTTGGAATCTCAGGGGACGGATGTTTCTCCATTTTGCCACTGCCAGTACCCTTTTCAGCAAAGTAAATATGCTGATGTCCCCCATGCCCTGTGACCATCAGGTACAGATCTGTGAATGGGGAACTCATCCTGGTGTCACATCACTGCTGCTCTAAGGAACAGGGAATATCAAGCAGATTAAAGGAAGCGAACTAATTAATATTGGCTATTATTTAAGTACCAGAGACTTTCTATCCAGTATTGTATGTCATTTTCACACTTTTTAAATTGTCTTTCAAAATGAAACAGCACTACACAGAAAAATGCACTGATCATGAGCTTGACAACAGTGAAAATACCCAAATTGAAAAATTCATTCTCATTGCCTTCATTGCACACTACTTCACTATTTACTGTAAGTAAATAGTATCCTGACAGTTAATGTCATAGATGGGTTTTGATGCTATATAAATGCAGCCAGCAACCATTCACTCAGTAGATATTCTAGAGGGATATTCTGTAGGTCTAACTTCTTTCACTAAATATGTGATGAATTCACTGAATTGTTTGTAAGCTGGTTCCACATTGTTGCATGTAGCAGTAGTTTGTTCACATACAATGGTATATCATTTTCTGCTCAATAAGTAGGTAACAGTTATCCTTTTTATATGAACTTTGCAGTTATTTCCACTTGGGAGTTATGATGAAAAATGTTGCCTTTGATTGTTCTACGTGTTTATAGATGTGCATAAGTACATAGTTCTTTTGACTGTGTACCTAGAAGTTACTGCTAGGCAGAGATTCCATTTTAGTGGCTGCCAAACACTTTAAGGGAATACTGCCAAATACATTTTCCTAAGTGATGGGAACTGAAAGGAAAAAGGACGGACACCGTGAGTCGTTCACCAGGAAAAGTCCTGGTGTCTTTATTTTCAGCATCAAGCTTATATACCGTAACAAAGGGGGCTACCGTGGCCTGCACCCATTGGCCAGGCCCCAGCTAGGCGGGTGGGAAGTATCAAAAATTATTTACAAAAGAACCTGTAAGCTGGGGTTTTGGGGTCTGTGCCCATGTACGAGGATGGAGACAGCCAGACCCTAGTCAAGGTCGCGGGAGCTTCCTTATCAGCCTGAGGCCCAGAATTGCTAACTAAGCTAAACTGCTAAGCCAAACTGCTTTCCTTCAGGAACAATTTACATTCCAGCCTGCTGTGCATCAGAGTTCTGGCTAGTTACTACACACTGTCAACCACACTGGTTCTATCGGTGTTTTTAATATGAACCATTCTTATGGATCTATAGGGTGTCTCAGTAATTTTGACATTTTTCCTGATAATTAGTGAGGTTGACACTATGAATTGCCTACTTTGCTCCAATTTTATTTTTCTTCAAGACAGACATTACTATCCTTGAATCTGCATTTTCATGCACATTTTAGAAACAATTCATCTCTGTCCCCCCCAAAACTCAAAGCTTGTCATTTCATGGACTCAATAAGTCAGTTTGGGGAGAATTTAGATGTCTACAGTGAGTGATCCAGCCCATGAACATAGGACGAATTCTCACTTATGTTGGTTTTATTTCTCTCAATCATATTGTATAGTTTCCTATGAAAAGTCCTTCAGCATTTTCATCTCATTTATTCCAAGGCATTTTATTGTTTTTTAATATTATAAGTGGCATAATCTTTTAAATTTTAACAATTAAACTTTAATTTCCTGATTGTTACGGTTATATAGAAATACAATTGATTCTTATAAATGGTATCTAAATTCACTTATTACTTCTAAGAGTTTATCTGTAATTTTTTTTCAGATTGTAAAATCCTGTTGTGTGTCTCATTTGAAGGTTTCATTTGTTGATTTTCAATCATTATGCTTTGCAGTATCTGTTCTTGTTTTACTGCACTAACTAGAACCTCCAGTACAAAGTCAAATAGAATTGATAATAACAAGTATTGTTGGCTCATTCTTAATCTCAGGAGATCATTAAATATGATACTGGTCTTAGACTTTATATAGATAATCCTTATTGGATTAAGGAAGTCTCCTATTCTTAATTTACTGAAAATTTTTATCATGAATTATTAAATTTTTTATCAAATGTTTTCATTGTATCTATGAAATAATAATTTTTCCTTAATTCTAATGAGAAATGGAATTTTGCTTAGTTATCTTTTCTGCAATAATTATGAGTTATAGCACTTATGTAAGAATGAAGCTTCTAATCACTGTTTTTCTCACTAAATGGAGAGAGCCTTCCAGAAAATATGGCCAACGTAGAGGAAGTCAAAACTAAGATATGGAGGAGGGATATAAGAGAGATAAGGACACCCACAGGAAAATAATACTGGTGACATTTGAACCTTGGTCTAACAATGTCAGACCTTCCTCTGAGAGCCAAGATATGTGAACTAATAAATTCTTAGGGGGGTGTGTGTGTGTTGAGGGGGGCTTAAATTACTTTGAGTTGGCCCTCCCTGGTGGCACAGAGGGTTAAAGCTCAGCACTGCAAGTGAGCCGCAGCCACAGACCTCTCTCGTCTCGTTTACCACTCAGTGTCCTTTGTGGATCTGCCTGTTCTGCTCCCCACTCTGTCTCTGGTGAAGCCTCTCACCGTCCCTGCACCTCTGACCTGTATCCTAGTTCCGTATGCATAAATAAATAAATCTTTTAAAAAATTACTTTGAGTT